TGGGGTGAGGACGCGCCTCGGTGATCGGGGTGGGTCCGAGAGCCTCCAGCTTCTCCTCGGGAAATCCTGGCGGGTGCGTGTACGACACAGGCGTGATACCCCTAAGCCACAACACCGGACATTGTTCATGCTGGGTCTCGGCCTGGCTAGCGAGGGACTGGCTGTTATCAAATTCGGGGCCTACGTTACACGGGCATCTCCAGATCCTGTGAAACAACGTTTCCGGCTCTTGCTGGCAACGAGGGCACAGGGTATCAACGCCGTAACCACAGTTCGCCTGGCGGACTCGCCGTAACCCCGAGACGGCAGCATTCTGCAAACCTACAAGATCGAATTCGCCTGCTGTAGCAAATCGGTTGATTTCCCTCCCCGCCAAAAGCACATCCCCTCCACCCGCCCCCAACCCCTCTCCTTCGTAGTGGTCTGAGGCGCGGGACCAGAGCTGGGACGTAAGGTCCTGAGCCAGGTCGTCAAGCAACTCTGTAAAATCAGCATCACCTTGCTCGATGCCCGGCTCGTCAGCACGGGGGAGCCTCCAGACCTCGCTCGAACCCTGGATGGGCCTGCGCCAGGAGTCGGCCGCCGACGGGATCCACCCGGCCTCGTACAAGGTGGCAACAACCGCTCCGACAGGGCCCTTCACTCTCCTCCAGCGATGGGTGGTGTTCCAGAGCCGAGGGGTAAGAAACTTCCAAGCTTGCTGGATGCGAGGATGGAGGTCGGGCGAGGATTTCCACAACAACAGAAATTCAAGAGCGAGCTGTCGACGAAGCTCGACCGCTGGATCCTGACGACCCAAATGCATGGCTAAAACAGTTGTGAGACAGCGGCCCGCTCCTTTACCCGCTATGGCTTGAGAGGCTTGCCTTCTGAGCACGGTCATGGCGTGAGGGGAAACTCCTAGCACCTGGTGCCCAAAAGCCGCCTGGGGAAGGGCCCCGGTGGTCCAGAGCGAGCCAGCTATCTTCGAAAGCTTGGCCGATCTCCTCACATTACGAGTTTTCCTGAACCTCTTGGTAGCATTGACCAGGCGAGCCTTTGCCTTCCGCTGGCTGCGAATCTTACCGACGCCAGTGTCGCATCCCAGGTCAACCGAAACATCAGCCTGCTCGAAAGGGATGGCGCCTGCCCGGAGCTTCTGAGCAATGCGACGACGCACTTCACTGGAGGTTCAAAGGAGCTTGGTCTTATCCGAAACGACCAACCTACGCTCCTTCAGCCCCTTGGTTAGTGTGGCTGCTGCGCGAGACAGGCCTGCTACAACGTATTCGGCGGGTCCTTCGGTCTTCGAGACCGCATCATCGATAAAGGACCACAGCCGGCACACCGGTGCATCCCTGTGGGTTTTGTCCAAATTCGGAAACAGAAAAAGTTTGGCTAAAGGCACCCCGAGGCACGAGCCCGCTACTAAAGAGCGAGTGGGAAGAATAGGTAGGCTCGTCCCCCCCCGCGCTCCTGAGCAACCTGGGGGCAAGGTGCACTTGCGCCTCGAGGGCCACGATCAAAGCGGGAAAACCGACATCAGCGGCAGTGCGAATGAGAATGACCAAGCTCAACGAGTCCTAAAACTACTCAATGTCTAGCAAAAGCGTCGCAACCTGCACCCCTGCGAGCACTGCTGTCTCGTCCAAGAGGCTCCTGAGCAACGCTGCTCTCAGCGCTGACCTGCCTCTGACTGCCGTGTCCCAGAACTGATCCAGCCCTGAGCTCCAGACATCGACGATGCCTGTTAGCAATTTGCTCCAAAGCTTGATCACATTTGAAATCATGCCAATGGTGCGGTCACCTGACTGGTTGGGCTTAGGAAGGAGCGCACATACAGTAGCGAAAATCTGTTCTGGCCATAGCCCGCACCTTTCAATTTCATTCAGAAGGTGAGTAACATCAGACATGGCGGGGCCTGGGAGGCGCTGGACATCTGCAACGGTCAGCACATCTACTCCCGGGGCCTTGCCAGGAGCACCTCGAGGAACCAGGGAGGAAAATATATCGGGCACCAGGGGCTCCAGCGGCTCTTCGCGGGCTCTCCTGAGGGCTCCCGAAATGGCCTGCTGTAAATCGCTGGCGCTATCCACGGGGTCCTCCCATTTAGCCTGCCAGGTCCGTTGTTTCTCCGACATGACCTCGGCAGGCTGGGAAACGGAACGGCCAGCCTGGATCGATTCAAGCGGGGCCGCCGACGTATTTTTCACGTGGCGGTGTAACAAGCCTGGATGCTCCTTCCACTGTTCTACGGCCCACTGATCGAAAGCACGCCTCGAGCTGGCAAGCGCCCTAGCGTGTGCGCATGCTGCGAGTCGATCTGCGAGCTCGCCCAAGGCCTCGAGGTCCTGAAGACCGAAGCCACGTACATCGCAGAAGACTGACAAGACCGTCAACGCCTCATCGCGGAGGTCCTTGCCCACGAATTCACTCTGATCGTGCTTCCCTAATTCGCGCAACTGCTTCTGCAACAGCGTAGCGCACCTCTCCCTCTGGGGTGGATCCTTGCCACTGCGTCGCAACGCCACGTACCGCTTGAAAAGGGTAGTGGAAACCGCCCACCATTCGGCAGGGCCTGCTCGCAGATGCGGTCTCCCCGGGGTTGACCTGGACCTCGCCCATTCCAGCGTGAAACCTTGAGCTCGGCCTACATAGGGCCGCCAGTCCTGCTCGGGGATACCCGAGGCAGTCAAGATACAGATTCAACAGCGCCGATCCAGGAGCCATACAACTGCTTCACGAGACGAGCTTCTTCCTCCCTGCCTTGGTACAGGAGTGCGGCACAGACGCGAGAACGGGGGCAGGGGGGGAGGGAGGAAGAGGAGGGGAGACGAGGGGGCAGCAAGAGGGGCGAGGAGGGTACGGAGAAGGATGAGGGGGACGAGGCCAGGGAGGATCGGGGGATAGGGGGAAGAGAGGAGGGAGCAGGGGTCGTCGCGAAGAAGGACAATGTCAGGATCAACGTCAAGGGGGGGCCAGGGACAACGTCAGGAGGGGATAGGCGTAGGAGGAGACGCATTGGCCACCATCGCCCATTCATCGACGAGGTAGATCATCCTCGAGGTTTTCCTGTGTTTTCGTACTTTCTGGGTTCTCGGCGGCTTTCCAGCCTCGGGGTGCCTTCGTGAAGGTGCACCTCGCCGAAAGCGTCCCGGGGCTGCCCGGATCGTCCCGAACGGCCGCCGCAGTGCCGAGTCGTGACCTGACAGCTACGGGGCAACAACAGCGAGGGGTATAGGTTCAGAGTGGAACGCATCGTCCCCCACTTGCCCACTCATCGCCGATGGAGCCCCATATCCCCACCCCGCCCACGAGAGTGTGCAGCTCCGCGGTCGGGGGACGAGCGCCGAGCCCTCGGCACCGTGTCGCCCTTGCCGCGAGCGGGAGTTTTCGTGGCTGCACCGCGAGCGCCGGACCATCCCACTCCGCCCGTTCCCGAGTGGCTGGAGCACACGGTGCCGTTTTTGATACACGCTCCGCGCGCGGAGATCATGTAGCAAACACGCAGGGATTTAGCATTGAAGGCAACGATGAGCTCGGGCAGAAACGTATCCATACATTCGTCATGGATCAGAAATCCCATATTCTGAAAACGAAGGATTGCACAAAAACCCTATGTGTTAGAAAAATCCTTCGAACACATAGGATTGCAATCCTTCGAACACATAGGATTGCAACAAAAACGGAGGGTTTTTGTTGCAATCCTATGTGTTAGAAAAACTGCCCTGCAGGACTTCCGGGTCTCCGCCCCCGCCGCCGCCCGCGCCCGCCTCTCGTGGGCGCCTCCAGTGGGCGCCCCGCGCGCCGGCCGGGAGCTCCCGGGGAGCTCGCCCCGCCGCCGCCGGCGGCGGCGGGCGCCTCGGGGTTGCCGCGCGGGCCGGCCACTCGTCTCGGGGGGAGCGTTCGCCGGGGTGGCCGCCCGCGGCCGACCGTGGGGGAAAAAGCACAAACAACAAAAAAAACAGAGCGACATAAAAGCACAGTGTGGGGGAACAGAAACAACAAGAGCAACACACACTGTGGGAACACAACACACACACATGTGGGAAACAACAACACAAAAAACAAAATACACACAAAAAACAAAAAAAAAACATCGCGCCTCGTGGGCGCCCCTTGTGCGCTGGGGGTGGGCTCCAGCTTGCGCTGGAGAGGCTGCGCCGCACGGCCTGCGCCACGCAGCTCGCACCGAGCTGGTGGCACCAGTGCTCGCACAGCACAGCTCGCACCGAGCAGCTTTTGCAGCACCCCTCTCCCAATGCATGTCACACAGGCTCCACCGCGCAGCTATGCACCACATAGGTTGCACCATGCTGCTCGCACCACAGTGTTTACCACACTGCTTCCAACACTGCGTGCACACGCTGGCAAACATATGTACCGTGTAGTCAGGCCCGATTCACATATTTCTTCTAACGAAGGCCAGTACTCGACCCTGTTCCGATCGGTCGCCTGCTTCGTGCCTTCATCTATTCTATCCACGTGGGCGACGCAGGAATTGGGTTCGATTGCGCGGTCAGTCTCGCATAAGTTGCCCACGCAAGGTCGTTCCCCCTGCAGCATGCCGCGAGGGTGGCCAGCGTAAACCACCGCAGGAGATCGCGACGCCATCGTACGTAGTAAGACCCCCTCGTTTCTTTTCGTCGTTCAGGTGTCCCGCGTCCAGCATCCAGCATACATCCCCGCCCTCCCTTCCTCCTCCTCCCCCCTCCCCGTCCTCGTCCTCCCGTTCCAGAAGAGAGGCTCAGCACGCCCAAGGAGGCGCACAGGGGTGCCAAGCTCAGATCTCGTTTGATCACTGACCTCCTCCTCCTACTCCTCCCTTTCCCCCTGTTCCCCTCCTCCTCCTCCTTCTCCTCCTCTGTCTCCTCCTCCGCCTCCTCCTCCTCCCCCTACCCTCACCCCACTTCCCCCCTTGCCCTCCCCCTCTCTCCCCTCAGCCCGCCCCTCACCCCTCGTCCTCCTTGCCGTTGTGCTCGTGATCCTTTCACCCTCCTCGCCCCTCCGCCGGGTGCCAGGGCGAGGTGCAGGAGGAGTTCGAGCTCGACCCGGAGCCCTCGCGGCCAGGGATGGGGCTCGCCCGAAGTTTTCCTCGTGCCTGCCTTCGCCTTGACCGCCCCACATCTACGACGGATGTGCCCCAATCAGAGCTTGCCTCTGTAGGGGTCCCAGCGGATTTTTATGGTCAGGCGAGGTGCGTCGCTGATTTTGGCGGCTCGCCCAGGTGCCCGGGTGCCCAGGTGCCCGGGTGCCCGGGAGCTGCAGCGCCGATTTCGGCGGCCCGCCCGGGTGCCCGGGTGTCTGGGTGCCCCATAGCCCTTTAGCACTCTAGCCCTATAGCCCCATAGTCCCATAGCCCTATAGCCCTATAGCCCCATAGCCCCCCCCAAAGAAGATTCCGATTGGGGTTTCTCTCCGGTGTCGTGTTTTTGTCAACCCAGTCGGCTGTCTTTGATCTGGGCCTCCAGGGGTCGCTCTCGGGCCCTGGGGCCATCCAAACACGACCCCCCGGGGCGAACAAGCTGCCCCCAGGTAAGCGGTCGGGACCTTTGGGGCCGCGGATTGAAATCATCACACCGGCGGAAGTCCGGGCCCCCAGACATCAGACGACGGTGTTGTTTTGGCACCGCGGCGCTGCAGGGATCCGGCCCCCTTCTCCAGAGCTGGCTCGTCACCCCGAGTGTCTGGACGCCCGAAATGGGTACCGAAAGAATGGGTAAAATGCCCAACAACAATTCCTGTTCATTTTGAACCGGATTCGCTGTCCGCGCCGCCGCAGCCTGTGTCCATTCGAGACAGAAGGTCGCCTGCCCAACAGCGGCCGCTGTTGGCTTGGGACAACATTTGTTGTTGGGCATAGTGCCCATTCTTTCAGTACCCATTTCGGGCGTCCAAAGAGTGCTTCTCTGGTGGTCCGGCGGTTGGCTTCCAGAGGAAGTCCCCTCCCAGCATCTCCAGCCGTGAGATTGCTCCGAGACGAGAGGGGCTGTGGGGTGGGCCTCGGGCCATCGCCACCGTCGGGGGGGCACCCACGACCAGGATCACTTCTCCATAGGGTCATGGAACGCTTTCAGAGCGTTCTTCTCCTCCTCCTCCTCCTCCTCCTCCTCACAGGGGGGCGACGAAGGATCCGTGATGCGAGGATCGCGGGTCGAACGAAGCTCGAGGCTGGAACGCTTTCAGAGCGTTCCCGAGCCGGATCTCAGAGATTCCCGATGCACCCCGGTCCGATTTTGCCATGGTGTTCGATACCAGCCCAATCCGGCACACACCTTTGTGTAACCCGCTCAACGAGGCCTGGGCTCACTCCGGCCCGAGTTGGCGCAGGAGCCTCAGCGGGGAGGGCCTTCCGCTTGTCGTGCGAAGACCTCCCAGGAGTTGCCTCCCAGCCTGTCGCTACCCCTCGAGTTCTGGCCGCCTCCGCAGGGCGGCTCTGCCGTCTCGGGCTGGTTCGTCTCTGGCCCACCGCTCACTTGTGTCGGGACCTCGCAAAGGGGGGGGGGCCACAGGGGGGCCCGTTGGGGCGTCCAACCGCAGAAGGTCACCATGCAAGACCGAGGCCTCCGGCCGCCGCCGGAACCCGAGAGGCCTCGACAATCGGGGCGCGCGGGGGGCATCGCTGCTCGGAAACTCGCTGCGCCAGCGGATCGAACTCGCCCCTCCCCCCCCCTCAGGGTCGCCCCCCTCTGCATGCTCCGATCAGGAGGAAAAGAAACACACAGACACAATGAATCCTCGATATCCCAGAAAATATGGGAAAACATGGGTGGTGGGGGGGAAGGCAGAGACCCAGAACATATGGGGAAATCTGGGGGATTATTTTTTTGTTGTGTGTGTCTTTATTTGTGTGTCCTGGGGCCCCTCCATCCTCGGCCGCACCAGGATGCCTTTCTGCACCGGGGCGCCACGGCCTCCCCCGCCGCGCCCCGGCAAATGGGCGCGTGCGGGCGACCCCCCCCCCGCGGCGGGCGCCCGCACCCGTCGGGCCCGACGAGGGGGGGGGGATTTTGGGCAAGGGGGGGCTACGAAATCTGCTGCGTCCTCCTCGTCCTCCTACTCGTCCTCCCCCTCCTCCTCCCCCTCCTCCTCCTCCTCCTCCTCCTCCTCCTCCTCCTCCTCCTCCTCCTCCTCCTCCTCCTCCTCCTCCTCCTCCTCCTCCCCCTCCTCCTCCTCCTCCTGCCCCTCCCCCTCCCCCTCTCGGGCCGAACGAAAGAGGGGGATTGGGAAAGGGGGGGCTACGAACTCTGCTGCGTGCAGCTGGTTTCGGCCCCACCGAGGGGCCCACTCCTCGATCGATGCGTAGCCGCCCCTCCGGCGCCGGGAGGCGCCGGGAAGATCAGCTGCGTGAGCTCGGACGTGTGCATTTTTCCTTCGGCGAGGACCATGGAGGAGCATCCTGGATCATTTGGCGAGAAAACCACGCACGAAACCGGAAAAAGCATAGGGAATGGACGTCCGAGCGATGGCCAGGAGGGGGGGATTGGGAAAGGGGGGGTCACGAAATCCGCTGCGTGCAGCTGGTTTCGGCCCCACCGCGGGGCCCAGTCCTCCCATTCCTCGATCGATGCGTAGCCGCCTCCCTCGGGCGCCGGGAGGCGCCGGGAAGATGGGCTGCGTGAGCTGAGTCTCCCCCCCCCCCCCCGTGTGCTGTCCCCCCCTTTCGCCCGGGCCGGATCTGGCGTTGGTTCGCTCGTTCGTTCGCTCGTGGCGGCCGCCGGCGGCCCGCTGCGGGGCCCGGGCGGCGGCGCGGGGGGCCGTGGGGTCGGCCTCGTCGTCGTCCTCGGGCTTCACGCCTCCCTCGAGGCCCCCCCGCCGCCGTGCGTGGCGCAGGAGGGGAGAAGCACTGACTCGTCGACTCCCAGGAAAAGATCTGGAAATATAGTCGGTGGCCCTGAAGGAGGAACCCTTTTCGTTGGGGAGGGGCTCCGTGTTCCTTAAGTGTTTCACAGCTTGCCTCAGGCTTTCCTTATGTTCCCGACAGGAAATCGAAGGTTAACTTATGGAAACATGGGGCCTCGTTCCTGATTTAGGGTTCCTTAGGTCAGCGCCCCGACTGTATGGGAAGTGGGGGGGGAGACAAAAACTCAGAGGATCTGGGAAAATATGGGGAATCCTGTCACTTGCGTCTATTTATTTGTGTGTCCCAGGGCCCCGTGAGTTGCGCAGCGACACATGTACAAGAACACCCTAACTTCACCAGTCGAGTCCGAGGCCCAGCTCTCTCGCCCTCGTAAGTTTAGAAGTGCTGCTTGCCCCATTTAGAAGTATCAGGTCGCCTCTTGAGTCGGATGCGGTGCACTGGAGTATTTGATTTGCCCGCTTCTTGCTTTCCTTTTGCAAGTCCCCGGTGAGGTTGCGAGTGGGCGTCGTTACATAGTACAGTTCGACCAAGTTGGGCGTCGGGTGTAATGTTCGCCGCTGCGCGCATTGCTCTTTCAGGGCCACGCGGCAAAGGGTCGACGAATATTTCCTCTGAATTACCCGGTGACGCTCCCAACCCTTTCTTCACATATGGCAACTCTACCCAGGACCGCTCACTACAAACGAACATATTGAAGGACCCGCAGTGCGTATGAGCACCCAGAAGTGAAACAGAAGAGCACTACAGCGGGAGTACGGGAGTAACGGCTGGGTCTGCGTATGTACACCTCCGCTCCGCTTGACCTCACAGGAGCCCATGGAAGTGGCGACAGTTGCGCACTGCCCCGCCCCCCAGGGAGCCGCGACGTCTCGGCGAGGTGTGCGTGTTACCAGCCCCCCAGGAAGCCGGTAGGGTTCGGCGAGGTGTGCGTAACACTACTTTCCGCCCTGCCTCGCAGGTGCCAGCCCCCAGGTAACCGCGAGGTCTCGGCTGGGTCCGATTGGCCCCCCCCACTCCGCTGGATCTCCCCAGAGTTCACGAAAGTGGCGACAGTTGTTCACTTCGCAGTACCCCCAGGGAGCCACGAGTTCTCGACGGGGTCCGCGTGACGACCAGTTGCGCGGGACCTCCCAGGAGCTCACGACAGTGGCGACATTTGCGCACTTCGCAGCCCCCCAAGGGAGCCGCGAGGTCCCAGCTGGATCCCCGTGCCCCCCATTCCGCGGGAACTCCCAGGAGCTCGTCAACATTCGTGTTCGCAGCGCGCGCACGCGGGAGTACCAGTAGACGTGTCCGAGGCAACAGCAGGAGGAAAACACCAGGAGGAGGTGGAGGACCAGAGGCAAGGATATAGGCAACAGGGGAGCAACAGTAACACCAGGAACAGCGTCACGAGCAGGGCGAGGATTGATGGGGGCGGAGTCGGTGCGAAGCCACCCAGAGCCCCTGCTTCGCCCCCGCCTGGCCGCAGGAGCTGCTGAGCATCCTATGTCGTCGCGGCCGCAGGCGCCTGAGGCTGCTGCAGCTGGAGACGCGGGCGAACATCTGGAGCCTCCCTGGGGGGGGAGAGGTTAGAAGCTTCGAGGCTCGCGGTCTCCGGGCGTTCTCGCCCCCTTTCGGCGGCTCTCCTGCTTCGGCACGCCTTCCAGGCAGGAGTCGGGCAGCGAAATCCGACGCCTGCCCTCGGCGGGAGGGGCGGGGCTCGGAATTCATCGAACAGGCCGCGGAGCCCGAGGCCCGCCCGCGCCTCCCGTCGATGCCGGAGAATCGATGGTCGCTGGGGCAGGGATCCCGGGCGTCGCCACCCCCCTGTGGGCAGGCCGGGGGTCCGGCGCCCGGCGCCCGGGCAGCACGGCTCCCCCCGACGCCGCCCCGGTGGGCGTGGGAGCGATTGGGGGGGCGGCCAAGAAGGGGGTGATGACCAGGGATACCAGTTTGAAAGATATCCTGATCCCTATGTTTGACATCCCCTCACCTCGATGATGATCTTGAGGATTCCCTCGGTTTCTGAGGGCCTATCGCTCAGATGGTCCTCGCTTTTTGCTCGCCCATCTTTTATGGATAGGGATACGTCCAAGGCTGGTTACAGGGGGGGTTGAATAGGCATCGTGGCGTGGGCCATGCCATTTCCTCAGGCTCCTTAGCGACTCCTCTTGCTTCGTCGCGCCCCCTGCTTGGATGGCCGCGGCGGCTGCTAGGTGGTTAGCGCGGATACTAAGGGGTTAGAGGATTTAGTATGTACGTACAAGTGAGTTGTAAGTAGGTTATAAGTGTTGTAAGTCGGATGTAAGTTGTATAACCAGCTACAACTGGTTAGTAGGAGATACTAACCACTTATAGCTGGAGGCTAGCCTTGCTAAGTCTCTAGTAGAGGTTAGCTCGCTAAGTCCCCACTCTAGCTACCACTTGCTAACCACTTAGTAACCACTTAGCTGCCACTTAGTAACCACCCAGTAACCATTTACTAACCACTTAGTAACAACATAGTAAGTCCGCTAGCTAGCTTACTTACTAAGTGGTTAGCGGACTTACTAAGTGGTTAGCGGACTCTGAAAAGGAGAAGGAGGAGGAAGAGGAGGAGGAGGAGGAGGAGGAGGAAGAGGAGGGGGAGAGAGGAGGAGGAGGAGAAGGAGAGGAGGAGGAGGAGGAGAAGGAGGAGTAGATGTCGAGGAGGAGGAGGAGTAGGAGGAGGAACGGGGAGGAGGATGAGGAGGTAGGAGGAAAGGGGGAGGCGCGGCGGAGGCGGCGACGGGCGCGCCTCAGCCCAAGACGGGCCGCTCGACGCGGCGGCCCGGCCGGGCCGCCGCGTCCAGCGGCAGCCTGGCGCGGCTGAGCGCGGCGCAGGCGAAGTTCGCCTGCGCCGCGCTCTGCGCCGCCATCTCCAGCGGCATTGCCGCTGGCGCGGGCGGCGGGGGGTCCCCGCGCGCCGCTCGGCAGCCAGAGCGGCCCACCGCACGTAGCCGTCGTCCACAACCCAGAGGGTTGGGGGACGACGACGTGCGACGGGCCGATGGCTGCCCAGCCCGTCCCACCCCTCGGGGATGTCGAGGAGGATCCCCGACATCCCCGAGGGGTCCTCCGAGAGGAGACTGCCCCATGGCTCGGGGTCGCCATCGAAAAACATGTCTTGATATGTTTTTCGATGGTGATCCCGAGCGGCGAAGCAAAGGGAAAAGGGAGGGCGCGCTCCCCGCGCGGCCTGTAAGCCGCACGCGCGCGGGCGGCGTCTCCTCCTCCCCCCCCCTTCTATCCTCCTCCTCCTCCTCCTCCTCCCTCTCCTCCTCCTCCTCCTCCTCCTCCTCCTCCTCCTCCTCCTCCTCCTCCTCCTCCCCCTCCTCTCCGCCTCCTCCTCTCGCCCTCCTCCTCTCGTCATCATCATATACTCCTCCCTCGCCCTCCTCCTCCTCATCCTCCTCCTCGTCCTCCTACCACGCGCAACGCACTCTCCATCGTCCTCCCCTCCCCCCCATCCCCTCCTCACCTCCTCTCCTCCTCCCAGCTCTCTCCTCTCTTCCTCCTCCTCCTCCTTCCTCCTCCTCCCCTCCTCCTTCTCTCCCTCCTCGTCCTCTGTCCCTCTCTTCCTCCTTCCCCCCCCCCCTCCTCATCCCATCCTCCTCTCGCCTTCGGAGCTTCTCGCGGTTTCGGAGCTATCTCGTCGTTTTCCTCCTCCTCATGCTCCTCCTCCTCCTCCTCCTCCTCCTCCTCCTCCTCCTCCTCCTCCCCCTCCCCCTCCTCCACCCTCCCCCCCTCGTCAGAGGAGAGGGGGAGAGGAGAAGGGGGGGGGGGAGCAAGATGAGGAGGAGGAGCAGCCGTAGGAGCAGGAGGAGGAGGGGGAGAAGGGGGAGGATGCGGGGAAGGAGGAGTTTGAACGACCGCACCACTGATCAACGACATTAGCGCTGCAGCGCAAGAGGACGAGGAGGAACGAGGCGGAGGAGAGGAATCGGCGACCATGCACTGTTCAGGTGCTGCAGCACCGAAGTGTCAATGAAAAAGGTGCGCTACAGCGCAATGCAGAAGGAATCCACGTTTTCAAGGCGGAGAAGAGGAGTCGTCGACCATGCAACGTTCAGGTGCTGCAGCACCGAAGCATTTAGCAATGTAAAAAAAGTGCGCTGCAGCGCCAGTAAGGAATCCACGTTTTAGGCTAAAGCGCACCACCGCGGCTGCGACCATATCGGGCGCGCCGCTCGGATGCCGCCGCCCTCGCGCGGCGCCCGCGCGAGCGAGCGCGCGATGCTCGCCGTGTGCGCCCAAAAGGCGTCGGCATCGCCGCCAAGCACGTGCGCGGAGGCGCGCGGGTGCAGCTTCTCCTTGAAGAAGTAGGGCAGGACCAAGCTCAAGCCATAGTAGTGGCCGTTCTTGGTGAAGGAGAGGTGTTTCAACACCTCGGCCGCAATGTGTTCCCCTCCTCCGTCCCCCAACAGCACGACGTCGCCGTATTTGACGTCGTGGCAGCGGCGCCGCGCTGCAGCGGACGTAACAAAGTCCGCAGGCCCGAACTGCTGCAGCAGTTCGCGCGAGATGGCCTTGGACGGCCTGGTGGCGTTAACCAGGCAGTTAACCTTAAAGGTGCCGCCATCCATGAGCTGCCACAGGTGCCGCTCGGTGACGCTCTTCAGGACATTGGCGTCCCAGCCGCTGGAGGCTGCAGCCCCCACCTGAAGAGCGTTCGCAAAGCGCTTGCTGGTCTTGTGCTTGCGCTCCAAAACCCAGCACGACGGCAGCGCCACATGGCCCCAACGCCTCACGTAGTTGGCGAAGTGGTGCAGGTAATGGGACTTCGGCGCCATCGTTTCCTTGCCGAAGACGCTGCTGTATGACAGCAAAAACATGTTAACCGCAGCCTGCAGCTTATCCGCGTCTGCCTGACGCCTGGATACTCGTAGGATTTCTTCCACAACGATCGTGTGCGCCTCGAACACTGCGCAAGCAGATCGGACTGCAGGCGCTGCAGCGTCGCTAGCCACCTCCCTGAAGAAACACGTCAATCCGCCCGCGCGAACGCATGTCCGAACAAGAGGGGTGCAGTACATATCCTACAGAAATTCACGTGCGCTGCAGCGCATGTATTATTGGTCTGGCGGGGGCGCGAAGCATGCAATGATACTTGCATGGTTGTGAGCCCCTCGCTGGCGGTACACTTGAAATGCTTGCTGTCAACGTGGGACCTCACGCGCTTCTCGCCGAAGATCGCGCACGTGTCGGGGGAGATGGAGTGGCGCCCTGGAAACGACCAGTCCTGGAAATATGCGTCTGCGCGCGCCCAGTAACCCTTCAACCTTCGAAACATTTGGAACACCGGAATGTTATATGTACCGTTGACGAAAATACAATGCATCCAATCAAACATGACTGTCTCGAGCGGCTTGAGTTTCCGAACCCGCTCAGGCAAATGGGGGTCCCAGTTCCAGCCAAGTCGGCGCTCCAACTCCTGGAACTCGCCCTTGTTCATGATGTTGACCCCTTCGATCAATCTGTTGCAGATGGCATCGAGCAACGGCGCCGTCATCGGCTGCAGCCGCGACGCATCTGGTTCCGAGTGGTGAACAGCGACACCCGTCGCATCAGAAGCAACTATATCCCGAACTTCGCCCTTCAAGAACACGTTGCGGCACATAAAACACGGTTTAATTCATGACGAACCTTTCACTCCGATCAAGCGGTGTATTGCATCCTCGTCCGCGACCCGACAGAGCCGCTGCAGCGACGCAAGAAGGCGTAATGGATATATACATGTGCACATGTATGCTAACTAATCTTTGGTGCTATGCGGCGACCGCTGCAGCGGCTGAATGTAAATTCCGAGGTCCATCTGGATGAGCTCCGTCGCGCCGTCGGGGCGCAGCCGCAAGCTGATGCCTGCGCTGAAGTTGCGCCCCTGATCAGGCCAGAACTGCGCGAGGATTGCGTCCAGTAGCATCGTCAGTCCGTGCGGCTGGATGTCGTTCGCGGTCTTGGCCCGCATCGTCGCGAGCTGGAACCACGCATCCTGCGAACAAATCGCAGCACAACTGGCGCTGCAGCGCCTCTCTCTCTCTCTCTCTCTCTCTCTCTCTCTCTCTATCTCTCTCTACCCCCCTCCCCCCCCCCCGCATATATCGTTGCTGCAGCAACGCTATCGCGAAAGTCCTCCGACGAAAGCGCCTGCGGGCCGAATTCCGCGATCGTCCAGTAGATGCCCCAGGACTTGCGGTTCTGCACGTGCGCCAGCGCGTTGCCAGCGCCTATTTCATCGCCGTAAATGATGATGTGCCACGGGCGTGGCAGCTCCAGCGCCCGCTGCCACAGAGGCTGCATCGCGGGGAGGGCGCTGCAATACCACAGCATTGCTGCTGGACTGCAGATCTCCACCGTGTGCTGCCCGACTACCATGTTCTGGTGGAGCTTGCCGCGCGGCGTGTTCTCACCGACCATGAGCTCCCGAGCGTCTCTGATATCCTGGCGTCGGGATCCCAATTCGGGGGTTCCGTCTCGCTTAACGGACGCCAGGAATTGCGCCATCGCATTACAATGCATGAGTGGCAGTTCCGCGCGAAGGCGGGACA